GTCTTGGTTGCAGACAGCACTCACTTGTAGCTCTGATGTTAGTTTCCCAGTGCACCTTCGCTGCTAGGAATCTTCTCGTAGGATAAATCTGGCGTTAATACTGGGGTCAAGTCCAGCTCATCGCCCTCGTCTTGCTGCAAGCCGGAGGAGGGCGGAAGCGTTGTATTTAAATCATCTACAGGCAACGTTGCCGGTGGCGGCTCGCCCGCGCCTGTGCAATTCAGAGGGAGAGATGTATCTCCCTCGCAGCGCTCTCTGAGCTCCGCATTTTCCTGCTCAAGAGCAAAGACCTTCTCCTTGAGGCGGGCAACGATTTCATAGAACAGGACACGCTCCCGCTCAAACACGGCGTTGCAGCCCACGCAAATATGGTGCAAGTTATTTTTGCGATCTTCCTTTGCCAAAGCATTCTCGCCATCGAGTAAATTGTTGTCCTTAGGAGCAAAGGGGGAGCTCTCCCTTCCCGCCGCGGCGGTGCTGACGAGACGGCCGTTCTCCCGTGCATGCAGGGACAGCAGCGTTGGAGAGGTGTCTCGCGGCGTTGGCCGCACACGCAGCACCAGAGGAGAGGGCGTTTGGTCGTGTGAGGCGGCTGAGGCGGTTTTATTCCTTGCCTTCGGCGAGCGCGACGCGGTGGGGCGGGAGCGAGGTCGCGATGGGGGGCGCGCTGCGGGACGCCTCTCGCCGGACGGCGACCGCTGCGCCTGCGACCCACAGGCCTGCAGAGCACCTGTTGAGGATCGCAGAAAGCATGCGAGCGAGGAGGCACGGGGCCTACTTGCCCTCTCTATACTGGTGGAGCGCGATGCCCACCGGCTGAAGCTGGCGCTGCTGGAGCTACGAATGGGCAGAAAACTATCCGCGTCACTTCGCCTGCGCGCAGTCAGCGAGGTTGCGTGCAGAGGCGGCGGCGCCAGCGACAGGGAGCGGCTCAGAGGGGAGGGTTTACGCAGTGATGCTTGCCGCAAGCACTTCACCAGCCCCGCAAGTGGGACGCCAAACAATTTCGCCAGCATGTCTCTGTGCCCTATGCGAACCATTTCCACCGCCACGGGTTCCTTCTTGTAATTGACCTTCCACGAGCCCTCCCGCGTTGCCGCGGTGCCGCCCTTCACGGGAAGAAAGAGGACGCGGAACAGCGACGTAAACTCATCGGCCTCCTCTATCGTTCGCAACTCCATCTCATCCGGGCTCACCTCACGCTGCAGGACGTTGTCAAAGACGACGAGCGGGTGATACACAAAGGCCCTCGTCGTGGCAATGCCGGGTTCATGAACCTCCTTCACCGTCCGACTCCCATTCGCCATGATGCGGTACTCACTTTTGAACAGCTTCCCGTTCACCTCAAGCTTAGCCACGGTCGGCAAAAAAACCTCGCTGTCAAGGCGAATGCTGAACGGCCCCTCATTCAGAAGGACGTACACCGCCGACGACCCCGCCACTTTGTACATTGGGCAGAAGAAGTCGTCCTGGATGAAGCGAACCTTGCACAGCGTGCCCACGTGGTCGACGCTGTGCGCCGCAGGCGCTCTTCCTGCTCCGTACCCCCTGCCTCCAGCGTCGCTGACCTCCTGGGCCGCGCCGGTGTGCCCGGCGGGGATGCCACTGCGCGCAAACGGGTCCATGCGAAGACAGCCGAGGGCGCCGGGGAGCACGCAAAGCTAACAGGCAGTAATGTGCCTCTCCACGAGTACAACTCTATCAAGTATCAAGTGGTCGACGCGCGCCGCAAGTCACGGCAGCGTCAAGACAACGCGAGTAGAGTATTCCGCGCGGCACAGAGAAAGAGTGAGGGAGAAGAAGATGCAAAGTGGCCGACAGGCAGCAGAAAAGCAGACATATACACGCACGCACGCACGCACACACACACACACAAAGAGCAAAAAAGTGGAGAGGGAGAGAAATGGAGGGAAAAAAATCCCTGCGAACATGCGCAAGTGTGTGTGGAGGAAGACTTCAATCGTGTCTCAACACATCAGCATGTGTGGAGGCAGCGGGGGAGCCTCGGAAAAACAGGGAAACCGACGTATGAAAAAGGTCAAACTCCATCGCGACCAACGAAAAGGACAACAACAGGAAAAAAATCCTCACGCAGAAATGAAGAGGAGGAGGAGGAGGAGGAACACAACACACACGGAAGCATATATGAACAATTGCGGGAGAGAGGAAGGAGAAGTAATTTAGAAAAAACTAAACAGAAGGAGGAATACACAGAGGATCCACGGCTACCCCTGATGAAGAAACGCATATCCATTCGCATCAGACACGTCGTTGCTGCATTTATCTACGTATTTCCAAGCACCTCCTTCTTTCGTCCCCCTCTCGCTCTCTCTTTCTCTTGCCGGCAATCACTTCTTCTCTCAAGCACCGCAGCGGGGCGGCAAAAGAACTTGCAACTCCAATCATACATATACATAAATGTGTGTACGTATGCACGAAAAACGCCTGCCCCATCGACATTGCGGACGGTGCCTTCGCCTGACTCCCTCGCCCCCTCCCCACCCTTTGTTTTTTTTTTCTGTTACTCTTCTCTCCTCTTCCTCCTCAGCGTCGTGGTTTCTTCTCTCTTCACGTTCCATCCTTCAACGACGTTTCTTTTTCTTCTTCTTCTACCTCATCCCTTTGGATCCTGTGGTGGTGATTGTGGTGGGCGCCTTACTTCTCTGCCTTGCGAGTGTGCTTCTGCTGTGGCCGTTGATTTCCCCGCTTTCAGAGGCTAGTGCTTGTGCCGTGTCACACTCGCTTCTTCGCCGGCTATTTCCTTAAGTTTGTTCTCTGCCGCCTACTCTCCCTCTCGCCCCTCCTCCGGCCCACGGCTTGTGTGCGGCACCTCTGCAACTACCCCTCCGCCCACGCACACACCCTCTTGCGCTCCTTCTCTTTCGCTACATCTCAACACCAACTCGTTACCCCCTTTTGGCTCTGTCGCTTTCGTCGTTGCGATTTCCTCACGCCCACACGGCACCTTCCCTATTTTTCGCCCTTTCTCTTGCCGTTTTACGCCTTTGCGTCCACAAAGCATACAAGCACACTCAGAGACGCAGACACATATAGAGGCATGTGTCTATGCACAGCAAAACGGAGGGGCCGGGGTTTGCTGAACGCAGCTCCTCCTTGTCTCTCCACTCCACTCCACTCCACTCCACTCCCCCCCTCCCCCACAGCGCACCCGCGTTTACATACATATACACACACGCCGAGGTGGTGGTGGAGGCGACGGCGGCGGCGACAGCGGCTAGCGGGAGGAAGCGACTTCATTTATGAACCTTCAACGACGTGGTTAACGTGCTGGAGAGCTCCTCCTCCTCGCGCAGCATGCCAGTAATGCCGTTCAAAAGTCCTAATATTGTCTCCACGTCCTGCTTCTGCCGCATCAGCAACGTCCGCACCCGATTAACGTACTCGTCAACAAAGTCTGAATCCTCAAAGGCCTGAATCGCACGGATCTCCTCCTTGATGCCTGTCATTTTGGTGTCGATGTGCCGGCGGTGGAAGGCGACGAGTTTCTCCTCGGCCCTAGAAATTTCCTCCAGCACGTGCGCATGCACCTTCCGGACCTGCTTTTCCTCACTCTTGGCCAACAGACCAAGCTGAGGGGCGTGTTCCTCCTCCTCCTCGTCTTCCTCGTCGCTGCCGTCTTGCAGGGCGTCAATGTGGTTTTGCACGATGGTCGCAATCTTGGGATCCCGCACCACAATCTCCGACTTTTGCCCGCTTTCCTTCCCAGCCAGAGGCCTATTCACCCGCTGCTTTGGTTGCGGCTTCGCCTGTTCACCGCTGCTGTTGCCATCGTCCTCTACCACGTGCTCACCCTCGTTTGCCAAGAAGTTGTCCACCCACTCCGGCCGCGACTTGATGGGCGGTGGGGCCTCAAACGGCTTCGCCTTCTTCACGGGGCGCCGCTCCGCCTTTTCCACTGGAACCGACTTCGACTCCCCGCCGAGGTCCTTGACGCGCTGCGTGTAGCGGAGTGTGTTGAGGGTGTTGACGCAGTGGGCGGAGGTGGGGGAGATTGTGGCAATCATCGTCGTGCGGCTGTTGCCGACGAAGGAGTCCCGCAGCACCTCGGTTAAGATGGAGCCGCGAAAAGGAACGTGCGACTTGCCCATGCCAAGCGCCCGAATACACTCCTTCAAGGCGAGAAGCGACTTATTAATATCGGCGCCCTCCATGCGTGTCTTGCGATCGCAGTCAAACGTGTCGGCACCTCGTTCATTTCCTGCCAAGTCAATAAAGGAGATTCGCCCAATTGTTTTGGCGCGGCGGTTATGCACCTCCCGTATCTCCATTTGCAGCACGGCGTGTGAGCGACTACTTTCACTGTTGGCGCTTGTCTGCCCGGCAGCCCGGTAGGCGCTGCCGCGGGAAATGATGTCGAAGAGACCTTGAATGTCGGTGACCTTGTGCTCGCTTAGGCCACAGATGTTGATCACCTTCTCCGCGTCCTCACGCGCCACGAGGCGCTCCTTGTTGTTGAGCAAGTCAAATATTTTTCGACCGTAAATCTCGTAGAAGGATATGTACACTTCGGCGTTTAGTGGAGCCGCACGTGAGAAGATGTCCTTTGCCGCGATGGCGTACAACCCCGGCTCATGATCGTTGCCAAGCATCGTGTGCGTCTTGCCACTGCCTGTCTGCCCGTAGGCGAAGCAGGTGGCGTTGCCGTGGTTGAAGAGCGTGTCAATGAGTTTGGAGCAGCAGCGCTGGTAGACAAGCGCGTTGTTGGAGTTCTCATCCAGCACCTGGTCGTAGGTAAACTGGTGCCGCTCGGTGTATGGGGTCAGGTCGTACTTCACCTTGGGCTCATTCACCACCAGGTACGGCGACTGTGCGACGACGATGTCCTTGTCCACGTCAGGGGTGGGGCGCTTCCGCACCGCAACGCAGATGCGGCTACTGCTCATCAGGACGGTCTCTGAGAGACGCAGGCGCCGCCTTCTCTCCGCGCTTCAGACCGATACTCCTGCCCGCAGTGCTCTCAGGCCGTGGGTTTATGTGTATGTGTGTATTAGCCGGTGTCGTCTTACAGCTGCGCTGAGCTTCTCGTCGTGGGGACACTACCGCCACCACCAGCAACAAAACAACAACAACAACAACGACAACGAGGGGAAGCGAAGGGTGTCGAGAAGAGGAACAAAAACAAGGCGACCCCCCGCGTGACCGGCGAGTGGCGAGTGCGGGTTTGTTCTTCCCCCGTCATATTTATATAAATCTCTCTCGCTTTTTTTTTCCTCCCTCTCTTCCTCTTTACCGGCAAGTCTGCACTGTGCGGCCCCTGCCGCGGGTTTGCAGTGGCGGCCCACGCCCGGCTGCGCTTGCCAGCCCAAACCCGCTGATAAGCACAGGCACGCAGAGGAATACGGGCAGACATCGCATGGAGGCGCACTGGCGCGAGGCAAGAAAGCAAAGAATAATTACAAGAGAAAAGCAAAGACGGGGAGGCAAAAAAAAAAAGAAAGCGGCATCGACCGAATTCCAAAGCGGTACCGAGAAGGAGGCCGAAGCGGATTAACGGCGGTATCACAGCCGTCTTCCATGAGAGGAAAAAAAGGGGGCATAACAAAAGAAGAACACCACCAAGGAAAGACAAGGATATAATGAGATAAATAAAACGACATGTCGAGTGTTCCCCCCCCCCACACTGACACTGGATATCTATATATATATATATACACGTCAAGGGTTTCACTGCCTCTCCCTTCATTCATTATGTTTTTTTTTCTACTGCCGTTTTTCCTTTTGACTTTGCAGGCCTCACCATTCGTCACGCAGCAGGTCCACCTTTTGTTGTTTGTCTTGTTTTTTTTTCGGTTCTTGTTGTTTTCTTCTTTATCGCTCGCTCCACCCCTCTCTCCCCCACGTTTCTCCCACTCCGTGGGAAATATTGTGTGCGCCGACGTGGATGGATGTACCAGAGGCACGGAGAACGAGGGGAAACAGGGGTGTGTGTAATCAGACAGACGCAGAAGGGTATTGGGTAACGCGCGGGCGCTGGTTTGTTCGAACTGATACATGCATATGTATGCGTGTGCATATGCTGAGGTGTTGTGCGTTGCGCATAAAGAGCTCTCTAGCTGACTACGGCTGACCTGTGCTCTTTTCGGCCACAGCTGCGGAGACAGTAAGGCGGTTCAGCGTCTTCTGAGTAAAGTCCTTCGCGGCGAAGCAGGCGGCGTTGGCGGGGAATGCACGCAGCAGTGCAGGGCCAAGACCACGATAAAAGCCGCGGATACCGCGCTCCTTGAAGATGCCCCGTACTGCACCTGCCAGGGTCAACTGCTCACGACTTGCCTGCACGCGGGTTTTGATGACGTCAAGTGGAACTGCAAAGGACCACATGCCAATACCACCCATTCCTCCGGCAATCAGGGACTCTGGCACCGACGGGGCCCTTGGGTTGCGGCAAATGAGCTGCTTTGTGTACTCATAGGCGCAAAACCAGGCCATGCTCCCTGGCACATCGCGCAGCATCGTCATACTCGTGCCGCGGAAGAATCCACGCAAACCTGCCGTTCTGTAAATGGACGACGCCACGCCGCGCAGGGAGCTGTCACCGCCGCTGTTTAGCGCCGTCTGCTGGCGAATCTTGAGCAACTCAGCGGGCCCGAGTACGAGCGAGCCCAAAATGCCTGTGCTCCCACCGCATATCATGACATCCGTCATTGGCAGCGGCTTGGAGGGGTCAAGCTCCTTTAAGCGGCGAATGATTTTCTCGGTGGAGTCGTAGGCGAGAAAGTAGAGGGCGAACACGACGCCAACGCCGGTCATTGGGGCCATCACACCCTTGTAAAGGGCAAAGGGGCCATTCTTCTTCACTATGCTCGCCGCGCAGCCGAGGGCATTCTTGTGCTTCCCTTGACTGTCTTGCAGCAGCGTCTTGACCGTGTCAAAGGGGTGACCCACCAGCAAGATCCCGACACCGCCCATCCATCCGCTGATGAAGCTAGTCAGCAAGTCCATTTTCCTACACTGCACTTTCCGCTCCGCCGCCTCTACGCGTTTCTGTTGCTGTTGCCGTCGCTATCCCCCTTCCACCAGGCGCAGGCGACGACGAGAAGAGAAGCTAAAAAAAAAAACAAAAAAAACAAACAAAAAAAAGCAAAGAAACGGGATCGGGGATCGGCAAATCGCGCAGCACGGCGACAAGGAGGCATGCCGCGACACGAAGGCCCCTTTCTTCCC